CTCATCCTTTAGACCTCAGCTTAGAAATCAGCCCTTCAAGGAAGTCTTCCTTGATTTCTTGATCTAGGTTAGGATCCTCATATGGGTTCCCATAGTATCCTGCCCCCTTCTTCACCCCTACCACTCCCCCTTCGTTTGGAATTGTTTATTGTATGGTTTGCCAGATAGAAAATATGCCTAAAGGTAAGGATCCCATCTTTTTATTTCCTTCTGTGCCCCTTATGTTTAGCACATAGTTGGTACTTAATAAATATTGGCTGTTGGTGGAGGAAAACAACTAAGCTGGGTGTCCTAGGAAGTTTCCCCAGGTTGCTACCACCTTCACCCCCTTTTGCCTCAACTGTGACAGGATATGTAATAAGACAAGCATTTCTATTCATCACCAAACTTTTCTTGAGGAGAGCACTGTGTTTGTTTAAAAGAAATGTTGAGTTAGCAGATATATGGTTAAGAACATGGACTCTGAGGATCAATTTCCTGTTTTTGATTCATGACTCCGCCATTTAATGGCTATAAAACTTTGGGCAAGTTACTTAACTTCCCTAGGCCTTAGTTTCTTCATGTATAAAATGATGGTGAAAATAATAGCACTTACCTTAGAGAGTTGTTGTGAGAATTAGATGCATTCATACACATAAAGGACTTAAGAATTACTGGCACATGTAGACACTTAGTGCTAGTTATTAGTATTATTAAACCACTAGAGCAGTGGTTCTCAACCTTCTGGCCCTTTAAATACAGTTCCTCATGTTGTGACCCAACCATAAAATTATTTTCGTTGCTACTTCATAACTAATGTTGCTACTGTTATGAATCGTAATGTAAATATCTGATATGCAGGATGGTCTTAGGCGACCCTTGTGAAAGGGTCATTCAACCGCCAAAGGGGTCGCGACCCACAGGTTGAGAACCGCTGCACTAGAGGCCCAGTGAATGAATTCGTGCACAGGTGGGGTCCGGCTGGCCCAGCCCCAATCAGGGTGAATCAGGGCTGGGCCTGTCCGGAGGAGGAAATGGTGGGAGGTTGGCTGGCTCGCTGGCTGGCCCAGATCAGGGCCTGATCAGGGCTGGTCGGCTGGGGGAAGGGGCCATGGGCGATTGGCCAGCGGGCCCTGCCCCCAATTGGGGTTGGGGGGCCAATTGAGGGTGGGGCTGGCCATGGGGAGGGGCTGTGGGCAGTGGGCCGGCCGGCCCCACCCCCAAATGGGGTTGGGGGAGCTGATAGGGGGCCAGCAGCCTGGGGCAGGGGCCATGGGTGGTTGGCCAGCCGGTCTGTCCCTGATCAGGGTTGGGGGGCTGATCTGGGGTGGGGCCGGGTAGGGGGAGGGGCTTCAGAAGGTTGGCCGGCTTGCACGAATTTGTGCACGGGTGGAGTCTGGCCGGCCCAGCACCAATCGGGGTGGATCAGGGCTGGGCCGGTTGGGAGAAGGAGATGGTGGGAGGTTGGCTGGCCGGCCCCACCCCCTATTGTGGTGGGGCGGGCCAATTGGGGGCAGGGCTGGTAGGGGAGAAGTGGGGGGCATTTGGCCGACTGGACCTGCCCTTGATGGGGTGGGAGAGTCCTATCAGGGGTGGGCCGGCAGGGGAAGGGGGCCGCAAGGTTGGCCGGCTGGCCCCACCCCGTCAGCAGGCTGGTTCGCTGGCCACAGTGGACATCATAGCGACCGGTGGTTAGGTTGTTACGGTCGTTATGGTTGTTGGCTTTATATATATATAGATTAGGGATAGGGGTGAATTCAAGGAACCAAAGTTAATCCCCAAATTCTGCTTCTCATGAGAGTGGTCCTATTCACTTTGGGCTTTCTGTTTTGTATAATGTTTGGTGAAAAGTGCTGAAGCCAAGTTGATTTACTGTGCCAATTATAACTTTGACATTGGCAGAAGAGGGAGGCAAGATTCATTTATACATTCGACAAATATTTACTGAATGTCTATTTTGTGCTAGACATAAAGGAAAATAAGATAGTCACAGCTGTTACAGAGCTCTCAAAAAGTGTAGAAAAGAAAGCTAGAGAGGCTGGATACGAGGGGTGGGGGGAGAAAAGGGAAGGCAGACAGTTTCTCTCCAGTGGGGGTAGCACAGCAGAAGAGGATCTTGAGAGAACAGACATGCTACGGCAGGATTTTAAAGCATCGGGTATAGGATGTGTCATATAAATACTCCCCTCCATTCCCTACAAAATCTTCACTAAACTTTTCATTGCTCACTCGAGAGAGCCTGAAGAAGGGGAAGATAGGAGATATCTGGGTTATAGCTGCTGGGGGAAAGATGCTATCAGCAAAAAAGGCCTTCCTTACTCTTGTGTGCTACTAGTAAGGAAATATTACAGTGCATACAATATTTAATGATTATAAATAATACCGCATGCATTGCATAATATAGGGCTCTTTACAATGAATAAGAATTAAACATTACCAATAGCAACCATATTAACTACAGAGAAGAGACATTATTCAAGGTAGAAAACTTGGGACTCTGAGAGAAAAGGGGACATTACTGAAGCTGTGAGTCAGATATGACCACCAACCAGCCCTTCATGGTTAATTAGTCTAATTGCTGATTCCTCGGCAACTATAACTTATTATTTTATAAACCATTGCTTATGACAATGCAGACTTTCCTATACAAAAAATTTCCTAAGGTTAGGTGTAGGAAAGGAAGGGGAATGTTGTGTATTTATTGGTCCCATCCTTTTAACTTCGTTTTTCATGTTTATTTCATTGCCATCTGTTACCATTTTTTTAAGGAACAATTTAAAGAAATGCATATATTAGAAAAGCAGCAGCCTAAGAAGTCATCAGTCCTCAAGCTAAATAAAACAAAAATATCAATTTGTCTGAATTTCCAAGAATGAAATAAATAAAGCTCTGTTGGAATTTACCTACACAAATTGAGACTTTGGCAAGGAAGAGAAATAAACTAGTCTTTTTTTCTTCTTAGATTTATTTACTGTATAAACTCTGGGGTTTCTACATCTTACAATGTGACTACTGATTAAAAAGATATATGGTTGTTTATTAATATTCTCAAAGCATTATGCAAACTCACATCACCTTGGGTATATTTTACCCCTAAGCTATAAAGTAAATATGGAAGTATTTTGTAGTTAACAAGGCTAAAATATGTTAATTCATAGAGTTGGCTTCGAATAGGATTTTACTTTAAATCATTAATAGGAAAATGAAGAGAGCATGGGTGCTCAGGCATAAAATATATATGAGTGGTTTTCTTTTTTAGGCCTTATCAAATCTGATGTCACCTGATGTTAAAAATTGAAATTTGATAATGCAGAAAATGACCTTACAATTTGCAGTATCATTAAACAATGAAGCTAATGCTCCAGATTTTTGACAGTAGTATTGAAACTATGATTTTTAAGTACCATTTTCAAATGACAGGATCGTGAAAAAAAATTGATATTTTGAATTGGGTAGAGTCAAAAAAAAGCTTGCTTGTCCTTTTATCTATGGGACCATGTTTTTAAAATAAAAAATTAAGGTAGAGTCCTAGCCTGTCTAGCTCAATGGTTAGAGCATTGGCCCTTGGATTGAAGGGTTGCAGGTTCGACTCTGGTCAAGGTTGGGATACATGCGAGAAGCAACCAATCAATGTGTCTCTCTCACATCGATGTTTCTCTCACTCTGTCTCTCCCCCCCCTCCACTCGCTCTAAAAATCAATGGAAAAAATATCCTTGGGTGAGGATTAACAACAACAAAAAATTAAGATAGAGGATATTAGAGCAAAGGAGAGACAAACCTAGATTTTTTTAAATGGATGTAAAATTACCAGTAAAATTCCTGAAGGGCCAAATACAGAAGGATACACTCTTGCCCTCTTAATAAGATAGGAATATATTTCTTTAAAGCAGAAAAAAGGGCTTTAGAAACTCCTTTACAAAAGCCTCCCGGTATCTAACCGGCCTCAGAATGGCACAGTTTTCTATTCTCAAGCGGCGGTGAGGCAGGCGTAGTCAGCTGAAACCAGGGGCCTCAGCTCCTGCCCTTCTGCCCCCAGAGAGTCTCAGAGAAAGGCAATTTCAAGGGCACGTTTTAGTCAGGGGTTAGCCACAACCACCTCCCTCAATATGTTTGATTCTATGATTATAAGCTTTCAACTTCGGTGTGAGCGGCCCATTGTTTTTCTTTCTGGGAACCTAAAAAAGACAAAGACCGCAGGTGTCACAAATGTCTATCAAACAAGAAAATGAAGCGATTCTGGGCAACTATGACATTCACGCCAGCTTTTCCGACGTCCCAAGATTTGGGTCGCTTTATAGGTATAACTAAATTCATGGCAACGTTAAGCAATGATTCAAACTCGTGCTAAAATGCCCTGAGTCTATTTTACTTTAAAGCGTTCTAAGGATGCTTTACTTTGGGACGCAGGGACAGCAATGAACTCCTACACCAACAAAACTCTTAGATGGGAACTACCAACAGGACGCGCCCTTGAGCAGCGATCACACTGCACCGAGCTCTTGAGAATATTCTAGAAGCATCAGTGGGAAGGGCCGCTTCTCTGCAGGGTAGAGAAATGAAGTGCAGAGGGGGCAGCTGCTTTGCGGGGAGGAACACGGCTGGCGTCTAGAATGCTTTCCTGCTGGGACGGCTTTGCCGAGAGCTGCGCTCCTGGAGCTTTAAATCCGTGGACCACTGCACCTCACTGCGCTACTGACGTCACAGACTCCCGTGTCCGGGGTGACGAGAACAGAGACTTTGGAACATTAAATGCCTAAACCTTCAGATAACCCAGAGGACATACAAGCCATAGCATTTCATGCAAAATTTATTTGCCCCCCTGCATCGAACTAAGGCAGAGAAACTCCAAATCGGGCACCCCTCCAAAGCTGGGAAAGTGCGAGGGTCTTGCGGCAGTTCCGGGGATGTACCGAGGGCCGCTTTGCTACAAGTGTATCCAGTGTCCCCAGCACCGGGGACTTCTGGGGCCGCGGCTTCCCGCCTCACTCGCCCCGCAGCTCCCAGAGGCGGCGGTTGTGCTATGAAGGCAGACGCCGCCAAGCTGGCCACGATGCTGCGCACCCCCAACTGCTCGCGGTGCCGCAACCATGGCTACCTGGTGGCCGTCAAGGGCCACGCGGGCAAGTGCCGCTGGAAGCAGTGCAATTGCGAGAAGTGCTATCTCATCACCGAACGCCAGAAGATCATGGCCGCGCAGAAGATGCTCAAGAAGCAGGCCTCCGACGAGGACCGCGAGCTGGCCTCCAGGGCCGCGGCCCTCGCCCCGGCC